CCTCATCCTGGCAATGGGCCGCATCTGCCTGGGGGACCACCTCCCGCAGGACTGCCCGGGTTGACTAGGGGCGCTGACCCCTACCCCCCGGGAGGCCTCAGGTGCCGAGGGCCCTGATAGGGCCCGGGGGGGCGAGAAGGGGTGCAAACGCCCCAAGCAGGCACAGAAGCCCCCTCCTGCAGGTGCCGAGGGCCCTGACACAGGGGGGGGACAGGCCAGTTGGCGGCCATCCTCGGCGGAACAAGGATGGGGACGGCAGAACCAGCGTGCACAACGCCCTCGCCGTGACCAGCACAGCCATACAACCGGCACAACGGCGGCGCCTCAGTCCCGAGCCACAGGTGCCGAGGGCCCTGATAGGGCGGGGACGGGACGGTTCCCCGCAGGTGCCGAGGGCCCTGACACGGGGGGCCGCACCCAGAAGGCCCGAGTGCCGGATGTCTGGCAGCACACCGCAACGCCAAGGGACACTCCCAGGAGGCAGCCGATCCCACTTCCGGCGCCCAACATCATCAAGCAGGGCCCGGTGGTTTTCCACAAGAGCTCGGTGGGGCTGAATGAAGGGGGCCAACGCCTTTCAGCTACCCCCCTGACAAGTCCGACGGAGCCGTCACCGGGATTGGACATCTTCCCGTGGATGGAGAACATCCCTGAGCGTCTGGTACAGCGGTTGAGATGGACACAGGGCACATCGCCCAAAGTTCCATCCAGTGGGCCCATCATTGTCTTGCTCTATGCAGGCAAGGAGGACCCTACTTCCTTGGACAGCTGTCTTCATGCCAACTACCCACACCTTTCCAGCATGGTGGTGGCGGTAGACATCCTACGGTCTGGACCCAAGGGGGACCACGACATGCTCCAACCCGAGCTGTATGGAGCTCTTTGCACGGCAGCAAAGCAGGGCCGAGTGGTCTTCATTGGAGGAGGACCCAACTGCAGGACATGGTCCATCCTGCGCCACATACCAAAACCGGGGGCTCCCACCCCGGTACGAGGGCGCACTCCGGAGACACTCTGGGGCCTTCCACACCTGGACCAGGCCGCCCAGACTCAACTTGATGATGACAGCATCCTCATTCTGAGACAGATGTACATCACCAGCCTGGCAAGGGCCTCACGAGCGGCAGTTTCTCTGCCAGGGCCCAGGTCCTTCCTGGAACACCCGGAGGACCCAGTGGTGAGCAGCTCGCTGCCCAAAGCCAAGGAATGCTCATCCTTCTGGATCACAGAGGAGGGGCAGCTTTGGATGGAGGAGAATTCCTTGACAGCAATCTCCTTCGACCAGTGCCGCCTGGGCCAGCTGGTCAAGAAGGCCACTACGCTGGCCACGGATCTCCCGATCCAGGACTGGGATCAAATGCGGTGCACGCATCAGTCACATGTGGGCACCAACGAGTCCTCGACTCTTAGCAGATACCCTTGGGATATGATGGCAGGCCTGGCCAAAGCCATCGCTGTGTCACTCGCAGCGCCGGGGCACATCCGGATCCCCTCACAATTTCCGGGAAACCCCAAGGAACCACCTAAGGGGCGGGGGTCGGACCCCCCGGAAGGCCATTCCCCCCGGGGAAAACGGGGGCCCAGTCAAGGAGGCGGTCCCTCCTCATCACACCAGGGCTCAAAGCCCGGAGGCAAGAACGCCCCGAAGCCCCGCCTGCACGGGCAGTTCCACCCTGAGGCAGACACCGTAAGCCCTCGTGGAACAATGAACCCAGACTTCCCATCTCCCATGCCCCCGATGGCCGGAGATGCGGAACAACTGGGGAAGGAGGGACAGGGGGACCAGGTCCTGGACCGCCCCGAATGCCTGCCCGCTTTCAGGGTCCCACACCTCACTGACCGGGTGGCGATTGTCCAATTGGGTTTCCGCTCACGCCCCCTGAGGGATGGGGGGGGAAAACCTTCCCCAGGGAGGCTCAACCCCCCTTTTCGGAGAATTTCCCCATTGGCTACTTTGGGCGCCTTGATCATGACCCTTACCCGTCCCTGGATTGACAAGGTCCGAATGTCCCTGGCATCAGGTGCCACCACACACCCCTTCCAGGAAGCCGACCTCGAGGAGCTGCGGGCTATCCTAGGACCGAGGCACCTCCATGAACGATGCCCAGGACAACCCTTCCTCCTGGACTTAGTGTCGCACTTGGCATCCCTTTCAGGTGACCCTGATTGGGAATTCCCCCTAACACTGAAAGAGGGGGTCCCCTTGGGAGTCTCGGACCCTACCTTGACCTCCCCGGGAGTTTGGCCCACTAAGGAGGAGCTTAAGGGAGAAGCCTGGCTGGGGGAAGATCCCCCCCCGCCAGTGGCTCATGGTAACTACCCAACGGCTGAACTCTTTGCCAAGGAAATCGAATCAACCTTTTACGAGGAACGAGCCTTGGACATGGTGGACGGGCCCTTCACTCGCTCCGAGGCGGCAGAGAGGTGCCGCTGCAAACCGGAGGAACTTTGCCCGGGCCCCCTTGCAGGGATTGATGAGTCGGACAAGATCAGGACGATCTATGATGGCTCAAAAGGGGGAGCAAACGCACACATCCAGGCTCACACGGAGGAGAAGACCACCGCACCGATGGTTGGAGACTGCCTCCATGCCATCCACTGGCTCAGGACAGCGGCGGACCATCCTCATCTACTCCGAGCCCCATCCTCGGGCACTGATGAGGAACCTAGGGATGTTCGCCAGCCGGTGCAGGGGCAGTTCCCAGGTGCCGAGGGCCCTGAGAGGGACCCCCACAGCACCAGCCTGCCCCCAGGTGCCGAGGGCCCTGATAGGGGGGAACCCCTGACGTGGCAGCCGCCGACACGGGGGGAAACCTTCATCATCCTCAAGGCGGATGTCACCAAGGCCCACAGGCGCATAAAAGTGCTCCAGAAAGACTGGAAATACCAGGTGGCCTGCATCCAGAACCGGTGGTGGGTCAATAGAGTGGGCACGTACGGCATGGCCTCGGCACAACTGTACTGGGGAAGAAAGGCATCCTTGGTGCTCAGACTCTTGTACTACATCTTCCCTCAGGTGGACTGGCACTTAGTTTTTGTGGACGACTACTGCTGGGTCCTCAGATGCAGCAGGGCGGACTGGGACGCCACAGCCATCCTGGCCACTCTTCTGGCGCTGGGAGTCCCGCTTTCTTGGAAGAAGACGGCGCTCTCCCCGGTCAATACCTGGTTGGGATTCGTGGTGGACCCAATCACGCCCTGTGTGCTGCTGGCTCCAGTCAAGCACGTCATAATCCTGGCCACTCTCAAACGGCTGGCCCAGGGGGACATCTTTACCAGCAAGGAGGTGGAACAAGCCCTGGGCCGGATTCAATGGGCTACTTCGGCGTGTCCATTGACGAAACCTTTCCTCCAACCCTTTTGGAGCTGGAAGAAGGCCTGCACCACTTCGGGCAGGCCACCGAAGCTGGTTCGTGCTCTGGCCATCCTTCTGGGGAAGCTCTTCAACCAGAGATTCCCACTGGCATCTCCATTTGCTCCCACACTTCCCTGGACGGGGGCATCCGATGCGGGAGCTGGCAAACAGGCGGACCATGCATGGGTTGGTGGTTGGTGCTCGGACGTGCCCAACCCCGACAAGTCCCGCGTGAAGTGGTTCCAACACAGAATCACACCGGAGGGCGAGCCGTGGGCCTTCGCTACTGGGGACCCGCAGCGAGCGATAGCGGCCTTGGAGCTCTTCGGCCTCCTCCTTCTGGTGAGGGCTGCTCTGCTTTGTGCAGCCGGCTCGGTTTCTCACACTAGGATTCTGGTTGCTAGTGATAACCAGGGAAACGTTTTCTCCCTGCTCAACGATTCCACTCGCAGGATGCCCAATGCGGCCATCCTCATGGAAATTGTGTTAACACTGCATGACCACCAGGTCATGTTAGGACCGTCGCATGTGAAGCGCGACTTTAACACATGGGCGGATGAACTTACTCATCCGGACCCGCAATTTCCGACTGAGAACCGGGTCTTCCCCTCAGTCGAAAGCGAATTGATCAAGCTGATCTTCGCTACTTTCCTTCCTCACCCATGATGCCGGGAGGGCATCCGGTGAGGTGGGAGGATTCCTCCCTCGCTGTGGGAGTGGCATCAATTCTACTCCCATCAGCTGCTGAGGGGAGCTGCCCAGTGGAGCTGGGCAATCCTCCCATTTTGGCACAAACCCTTATTCGGCGAAAAGGATGCACCGTTCGCGATTAAGGTACCAGTAGCACCAATGTGGTGCTTTGAAGAGTCAGTCTCATTTTTTGTAGCAGCAGAAGTGTAGTAGTTGTCGGAGTAGAAGAAGTAGCACTAGTAGACTAAACACTTGTAACACCAGTAGTACCACTAGGGTAGGCCCACCAAAAAGTGTGCAAAGAGCTCACCTTGTTTGAGGCTGCCAACCAGAGGCTACGCCTTTGCCCTGCTATGTCTTCGCGTTGCTATGCCTTTGCTTGGCTAGGCCTTTCCTTTGCTGTGTCTTGCTTTGCTATTGCCATCTCTCTACTTGGCTTTGTCCTTGTTCGGCTATCTGTTTAGTTGGCAATGTCTTTGCTTGGCTATTTCTTCACTTTGTCATGTTTTGGCTTGTCTGGTGCGAGTCGTCCGTAGCTCAGAAGTTTGTCATCTAAACGTCCTTTGACCACGTCATCTTACTTCAAATGATTCTGGCACTTTAGCATTTTGAGCAAATACTGGTGCTTCAATATTCCTGTAAGCTACCAGCCTGTTGCAGCATCAACTTGCAAGATACTTTTGAAGGTTGATTGCGTGGTTCCCTTATAGCGGTGCCCCACCGAAAAAACGGATTACTATAATACTTTTGGGCTTCGGGATCCTCCATTTTGAACAGCCCGGATTTTCCAAGTTTGGATGGCGCCTTTGTGTGATTGGCCCCAGAAGGTCGGGGGCTAAATGCGTGAGGCGCCGCAACAAGGCAACTTGGATGGGCTTGCTTGTGGTGGGCAAGGTGATGCATCTCAAAGCCTCGCCATGCTCCTGCGCCTTCGCATGCTCAGCAGGAGAAAACGATGCGTTTTCTTGCAGGAAGCAGTAGTCCTTCTTTTGGCGGGGGCCTCAAGATCCCAAAATCAGCATCGTATCTGATGTGGGCTCACTGCAGCACGGCTTGGCCGGCCAATATGGGGACGTCCCGTGCTGAGGCAACCCAGGGAGCCTCGGGCACAACAGGGGTTGCAGGCCGTGCGGCAGCTTCAAGCCCGAAAGGCCGGACCGCGGGTCGTACCGCCATCCTCTTGCCAAGCGAGTGGCAGCCTTGCACGAGCCAGAGGGCGTGACCTTGCCCGAATCATGTGCGACTCAAATTTGTGTGTCGGACACACTTCTAGCAATCCTGGCTGCTGGGGTAGGGTACTTGTTAAGTGGGTAGGAACAGTGGAACCCACCAAAGCCGAGGTTGTAAGGTAATGTAATGTTGACCCCAGATTCATCAACCCCAGTATGTTAATATGGGGGTATTCCCCTCCAAAAGTGAATTGAATCCCCACATTCAAAAACCGGTATTTGTTTCCGGGGAAAATCTTAAATGGTTGGTCATGATTATAACCTAGCGGACTTATGACGTACCCTGCCTTTTTTTCTCCGTGCAGGGTGAGACTTTTCTTTCATCGAGGCCTTGGGCCAGTGCCAGGCCTGAGTCCTGCAAGAAAGGCGACACCTGCACTTTCTGCCACTGGGAGCCTTGGCGTGAACCAGCGATCTTGGGTTGCCTTGACGCTCAGCCATCTCCGCCCCCTTGCACGTGGAAGTGACTCCGGGAGTTGGGTCGCCTTTGTGGGTATGGAAACTGCAGTTGCGCCTAGGAGCACGAGCGACCAAAGCACAAGGGCCAACGTGGTCGCTTTGCCCTGCAGCGAAGGCGCCCAGCTTCAGAGCCTGTGGCTTTGAAGTTGCCATGTGTGTCACTTTGTAGTGTGGTGTCTGTCTGTCTGTCTGTCTGTCTGTCTCTGTCTGTCTGCCTGCCTGCCTGCCTGCCTGCCTGCCTGCCTGCCTGCCTGCCTCTCTTTCTGTCTGTCTGTCTGTCTGTCTGTCTGTCTGTCTGTCTGTCTCTGTCTGTGTGTGTGTCTCTGTCTGTGTGTGTGTGTCTGTCTGTCTGTCTGTCTGTCTGTCTGTCTGGCTGGCTGGCTGGCTGGCTGGCTGTCTGTCTGCCTGTCTGTCTGTCTGTGCGTCTGTCTGTCTGTCTGTGTCTGTGTCTGTGTCTGTGTCTGTGTGTCTGTGTGTCTGTGTGTCTGTGTGTCTGTGTGTCTGTGTGTCTGTGTGTCTGTGTGTCTGTGTGTCTGTGTGTCTGTGTGTCTGTCTTTGTGTCTCTGTCTGTGTGTTTGCGTGTTTGTGTGTGTTTGTGTGTGCTTGTGTTTGTGTTTGTGTTTGTGCTTGTGCTTTTGCTTGTGCTTGTGCTTGTGATCGTGATCGTGATCGTGTTTGTGTTGGTGTTGGTGTTGGTGTTGGTGTTGGTGTTTCTGTTGGTGTTGGTGTTGGTGTTGGTGTGTGTGTGTGTGTGTGTGTGTGTGTGTGTGTGTGTGTGTGTGTGTGTGTGTGTGTGTGTGTGTGTGTGTGTGTGTGTGTGTGTGTGTGTGTGTGTCTGTGCGTGTGTGTCTGTGCGTGTGTGTCTGTGCGTGTGCGTGTGCGCGTGCGCGTGCGCGTGCGCGTGCGCGTGCGCGTGCGCGTGTGCGTGCGCTTGCTGCATCATACATTTGTTGATGGGGATACCACGCAAACTACCAAGAACTCGTGTATCGACTGTGTCGATTTTAAGAATTCCTCGGCGGCTTTCTAGAGCAACCCGCCTTTCAATTTTGACAAGGACTGGTGTTGAACACACGCCTCATGTTGAGTTCAAAGATGATGTAGGGCAAGCTTTTCTTCCCTCATTTGCTCTCCAACCTTGCGTCATATCTTGGCATCCCTCGCTCCGCGCGGGGCATTTTCACGCCATTGCCGCTTGTTGTTTTGTTTTTGCATTGGGCCCTGCAGGCAGTGCCTGGAGTCTGTGGCGAGCCAGGGGTCTTCCAGCTCAACGATCCACCCTCGGAGAGTTTCGGGCAACTCTTGGCACGGCATGTGGTTTCGTGCTTTGTTTGGTTTCCTGTCTTGTACCCTACCAACGGCAGGTTTGAGAGCAATTCGCCTCTGGAAGAGGCTTCGTGTTGAACAGCAGGCTTTCCGAATTCAAGCTGTAGCCGCTTGCTTGTTGGCAAAAAGCTCGTGAACAGGATTGAGCATGTTCATACTGAGGCTGGCGCAGATTGGAGCCAGGATCTATGAGGCCAGTGGCAAGTGCGCGATGCCTCCGCTTTGCTCCGACTTGTGCCACTATAAGGTACTATAGACATGCGCCAACGCGACCCAGCTTTTCCAACACCCACAGCAACTGAGCCCCAGGTTTGTTGACAGTTGTAAAGCACGTGGCGGCTCTCTGCACAATGAGCCAGGCCAGGTCGCACCCCAGATAGGAACGCAAACCAAAGGAGTATCCCCGAGAAGCGCCTGTATGGAACCCACCAGGAAGCTGCGCCAAAGCTGCTCCAAACCAAGCGTTGGCGCATTGACCCATAGCTGTCGTTGTTTGGGAAGAAGCAGGGCAGAATGTCGGGTTGGGGGAACTCAGGAAGCCGCAGTTCCAGCTCATTCGCCGGATGCACTGGCCCCTCCCCTTTGATTGAATTGGGCAACTGTCCGCGCCAAGCCGTTGCGAAGCCGGAAACACCTCAGCGAGCGTCACGCCCGCTCCCACACTTCTTTCTTGGCCTCGCATCTCCCTCAATTCATAGGAAGCTGCGCCGGCAAACTCTCCGAACATCCTTCCCACGCCGGTGTGTGTAAATCTGTGACACCTCAAGTTGCCAGCGTCCAAAGAGCGCATGCAGGTTCATCCCAAAGAAGAGGAACTCTCAAAATAGCGGGACCCCAACAATGGACGGACCAACCTGAAGAGGCTACCCTCAAAAAAGGAATGCCGCGAATCTGAACTTCCACTTCTACCTGGCGCGCGCCTGTCCATCCTTCACCACACGGGGCTCCCGCACAAAGGTCTCCTAAGCTTGGGGTCCACCCAACTCAGATTGGGGGAAGTGGTCAGCACTCAGCTAAGCCGCGTTGCAGCACCAACCTGCAAGATGCTTTTGCAGGTTAGGTTGATTGCGTGGTTCCCTTATAGCGGCGTCCCACCGAAAAACGGATTCCTTCAGTACTTTGGGCTTAGGAATCCTCCATTTTGAACAGCCCAGATTTTCTAAACTTTGAAAGGATGGCGCCGGTTTAATTAATTTGAAAAATACCAGAAGGTCGGGGGGTGAATTTGTGCAGTTGCGAATGATTGGAGCATATTGGAGCGCTCATGTTGCAGGAGACGCCTATCATTGTGGAGCGCCTCAAGAGGCCCAGACAATGTGTTCTCCAAAATGAGGGGGCTTTCTTGGGTTCTGGTGCGTTTCCCTTTCAACCTAACCAGAAAAGGGCTTTTATGGGTTTTCCCCCCACACTTATGATGCCCACATGATTTGTGATGACGGGGCAGGCAGGTTTTTCTGCCTGGCTACGATATAAACCTTTGGCCGATAAGGTTGCTCACTTTTTGCACGTTTTGGGCTTGCGTGCTTCTTGACATTGGCGATTTTCGGGTGCCACGTTGCCAGTAACCCTATTCAACTGCATGCCCATGCCCCCAAGCACTGCTCGGCTGATTGGCCTAAAGATGCTCAAAGAGGCGCTCGTCACAGCGAGTTGCAGGATCAGGGAGCAATCTTGATTCCCGAGCCATGGCAGACTTGTCAAGAAGCTACGTGACCACTCTGACCCGAGCAGCACTGACTGGGCCGAGAAGGCAGGGCATGTTTGAAGAAGGATTGCTTGCAATTACTCTTTTCTGCCGACAGGCAAGGCGCGAATCGAGCGTCTTAAGTGTGGGGGGCAATGTCCATATCATTTCTTTGGAGTGGCTTGGGCTTCGTTAATGCAAGTATTAGATCAAACAATGAGCTCTCCCAGAAGCAGCACAGCTTGGTCAAATCTCCCAAGTTGGGCAGTAGTTCCTTGCAAATGCGCCGGTGGTTGCTTTTGATGGTAGTCTATTGTGGCTCTGCGTGCTTGAATGCGGCTGGGTCGTATCTTCAACCTTTAGTGTAATTCCTCTCCACACAGTGTTTTTTTTGGGGCAGGACATCGCCATCAATTTGTGGCTGCCCTGGAGCGGAAGGGATTTCTTGCCTCGATCTCGGTTACCCTGTCAGGTACAGTTCTTGGGTCAGGAGATTTGGGCAATTGGCAACAAAGCGCAAGATGCACGACCTGACAGCTCGCGGCAGCCTTGGTGGAATGTTACGGCGGATGCCCCAAGGAACTGCAAGGGAACAAGGAAATCCTTTGATGAAGCTTCCTTACCGCTTTTTTTCGTGGTTGGGTGTGGTTGGTCTGCATCCACCGTGGCGTTGCTAGCTTGGGCGTGTCAGTTTTGCTAATGCAGTCCGTCACTCTTGAACACGTGCCAAGTGGATGGCGGGAATGCCTTGCTTGCACAGGCGTGTCCAGAAAGCCCGGCACGAGCAACCACCGCGGACGAACAACAACGCAGACTTGGAGAGCAGGCCCATTCCTGCAAACATGCCCCGCCAGTTGCAGCCAAGAAAGGCCCAAGGCAAGTTGCTCTGATCCTGTCCGTGCATGAAACAAGGAAGCGAGATGCCGCAAGCAGCAGTTTGGACTCTAAAGAAAATTGCATGGGCCTTTGGAGTGGGACCCTGGCCTTTTGTTCCTTTTGTGTCCAAGGGAAAGCCTTATGGACCCATTGAAAAATAGATAAATAAAGGGTATATATGAAAGAAAGGAGAATTCGGGGTTCATACCAATAGCGCATGCATGCATTTTTGCTCTAGAAAGAAAGGGAACATTCACTGCCATCAGGCGGAAGTGGTACGAAGGCCGCCTGTATCTCACAGCCAAGAAGATGCTTGGCGAACTTGAGGGGCTTGAATGTGTTTCCAACCACGTGTCATGTCAGTTTGCATCAGTTTTTATTTTGCTGAACAATTCTACATGCACATTGGCAAGCCACAACGTGTCTGTCATATCAGGCGGCTGTTCAAGGTCCTGCAAAGGGAAAACTCAACCGCCGTCTCGCTACCTCCAGCGCCAAGGATGTTCGAGAGCGAGAGGCTTCCCGTGGAGGACTGAAGACAGATAAAGCTTTTGACGGACTGCCAAGAACGAAGAGAGCTCACTGACTCAGCCTTGCAAGGGTGGAATGGTGCCACTTCGATCTCTGTGATTGCTGAACCCCAATGGGATTGGTTTCTAAGAGTTCTGCAAGAGGAGCCATCAGGTATTCAACGGATGGAGATGCAGCGTGACCCTGGAACCCTTCCCAGCTGTCTGTAATTGTTCCACCGTTCATTGCCGCAAGTCAGGACGTTTGGCGGCTGGTGGACACCAACTTGCGGGAGCTTGAAGACTTGGAGAAGAAGCTGGATCAGCAAATTGCTGGAAGTGCTCAGGCCGGTGAGTGCCCTTACAAAACCTAAAAATCAAACATTTCGCCAGGTGGAGCCACCGAGAATCGCCACCGCGGACGCCTTCATTCAGAAGCACCTGGTCCAGAATTCCTGGTTGCTCCCGAAGCTGCTGGAGCTGTTGAGCCTCGAGGTCGGAGCCCTTCGGGGCCCCGGGGCGCGAGCCTGGACAGAACGTCCCCTTGAAGCCTTTGTGACTGCAAGGCTCAAAGCTCCTCATACTGGCGTAAATAAGGTTTGCGCTTGAGCGGACTGCAACGTCTCCTGCTCCGCAGTTTGACATGGGTCCTTGGAGGCTGCTCAGATTGCAGAGCGCCGGGTGTGACATCAAGAGTCCGCATAGACAGGTTCTAGTTAGGATGGATGAGCGTCCACCCACCAAGATGCAAGATGTGGTCCACTTGGCAGGTCTCTGACAGGCTCACTGAGAAAGAGCTGAAGGAGATGGAGGCTGAAATGCGTTGGCGGGCTTGGGCTTTTGGAAAAGAGACCCGCAATCCATGTTGCATGTTATTGATACCCGCAAAACCGGAGTTGGCGGAGGGGGTGACTGTTGCAACTTCATAAGTTTCTTGAGGACACCCCCAGCCCCTCTTTGTTACGGTTGGACACTCAGGGGAGCTGGTCTGCAGATGCTGACAGGCCTGGAATCACTTCCATGACGAGCTTCAACGGTTGCCGGAGATCACAGACCCTTCAGGCCATGTTGGTGGCTTGCCCCACAAAGAGCAAGGTAAGACTTAGCTCTTGGCTATTGAGTGGCATGTGAACCGACTGTGCCTCTTTTTACCGTGTCAGGTTCTGACTTTTGAGATGTTTGTAGGAATTGCGGCAAGTAGACTACGTGATATGTTTAGCCATTGCTCCTCGCATCAGGTTCATTGCAAGAAGCAGGGGTGGTGCTCTCAAAGCTTTTTTGAAATGGATGGGTCTGTTGCTAATGAAGCAGTAGTAGTCTTAGCGGCAACTAATAGACCAGACGTTTTAGATAGCAAGACCTGGCAGATTTGATAGACAAACCAATATATGTGCTCCAGATTTAATCGGTAGAGAGCAAACAACAAGTGCACCAAAAAGTCAAATATGCAACATATTTGGACAAAGTTGTTTTCACAGCAAGCAAAACCCTTACAGCGCATATTATGGTAAATAAGATGGTGTTTATTCTGAACACACTTTAAAGGTAATAGACCAAGACGTAAACAAAATCATGGACGATGCATACGCCGATGTTAAGAATAGAGAAACACATTAAGATGAGTTACACTCAATAGGAAACACTCTAGTAGCAAAATATGTTTCAAGAGGAACGCGAGTAAAATAACTTATTAAACATAAAGCAAAACGAGTTTGATGTAGCTTATCATGTTATCATCAACACTTTTCCCACTACTGCCTTGTGTTTACTTTCAAAGAGAAGAGAGAGAGAGAGAGAGAGAGAGAGAGCGAGAGAGAGAGAGAGGGAGAGAGAGATAGAGAAAGTCAGTGTTAAAAGTTGATAAATAATCGATTGCGCAATCGTTGTTTGCAAGCAATAGTGGTGATGAAGTAATGTACCAGTAGTAGAGAGAGGTAATACCGGTGTAGAAGAGGCTATGCTTGTAGCAGAACATTCTTCAATCACTTCATTACTTCACAGAAATGACAGATTATGGACAGAAACGATACTGCAAGAAAGATAAGTGGAACACTGAGTGAACTCTAATGGGTGTGATAATCCTGATGTGAAAGTTCTTTTGCTACTGTGTGAAATCCTAAATCAAAGGTTTGTTTGATGTAAAAGTAGATTGAGCATCTATACAATAGGGCACTCTCCTAGCACAACTTTATTCAATATGTGACGATGAGGGGGGGTTATATTAGAACAGATGCATATTCTACAAAACCAGCGCAGCACTGATAGAGTTTTTGCCGCTGGAGATGCGCAAGATAAAGCTTGTCTAATTTAGAAACTGGCGCAGAGTCGGTAACCGTTAAATGTCCAGTTGGTTTTCTTTTTAACTAGTCTAACAATTTGTTCATTTTATCAAGAGGGTTCCCGAGGAATTTTCTTAATAAGTCTCTGCATTTGTGTTTATATGGCTTTTCATCTCAACAGGGCAAACGACATTGACATTTTCAACGTTCATGTTACATACCATGTTTGATGTTCAAGTTTCTGGGGGGTAGAGGGGTTTAATCACAGTATACTTGAAAAGCATAATAGGAAGAAACAACTGTTCAATTTGTTCCATATGCGATTTCAACAGCGGCACAAGTAGAATAACTAAACATTCCTTCTTCACAACAATAATGTTCATGACCTTGCTTCAAGAGGTCTTTGCGCATTTCAATCGGCAATGTGTCTCTTGTAAGAAGTGTTCTTTCTATGTTTAGGTTAGGAAAGTTAAATTTCATGAATGTTAGTTGTTCAATTTTTAAAACATTAGACTAACTTCATTATAGTGACGGACTTCAAGTTACAACTTGGATAATTAAACATATGGGTAGTTTAAAAGTGACGAGCAGCAGTTAGAACATCCAGGTCAAGCATTGCCAAAACCTCGCCGTTTTTCGACTTAGAACATCGCACGAACCCCAGTTTTGCATCCCTGGCCAGTTGTGGCATTGAGAGTTAGAACATTGGGGGGGATGCATGGGCATTGGCGGGCAGCCAAATTTAACCATACGTGTTCCAGTCAGGACCAGCTGGCAGCAGCGGATCCATCCTGACAGTGATACTGAATTGTCTTGGTTGCTGTTGACCTCTCTGCAAAAAGTTTGTTTTTTGTGGGTTCAATGGACAACCCTTGATTTCCCAAACGGTTAGTCTAAAGATCCAACCCCACATCAATCAAGTGCCGTTCAACATAGATGCCACAATCCCCCCTGTGTTGCCAAAATAATGCCTATATGAGTTTATATGTATATAAGTCAATTATCACGATGACATTTATGGCCCAGAGGTTACATGAGTCAGATGACTTGCAACATGTTGTTGTACAAACAATTCAATGCCCAAGCATGACATGATCACATGTCGCTTTGGCTCAAGAAAAGAGCGCGTTGCACGCGCTGCCACAAGGTTAAGGGAGAGGTCGCAGTCACGGCGGGGTTCGTTCCTTTTAAGGTCCCGGGTTCCCCCGTTGTTGAGAAAACTGTGTTTCCCTCTCCTTTGAGTGGTTATCAGCCGTAACGCTTTTCGGGTAAACAAACCCTTCTGTGACTGCGACCTTTTGGTCGCACATGGAAGTCGGCCCTCACCGCGGCACTCGCGGTGGGAAAGGGCCGCGTGCCCGTCTGTACAACACTCTGCAACAGATCGTCGTAGACGAGTACAAGAGACAGGACAGACGATTCCGGTGGATCAGGTTTGCAGACGCCTCAAAGCAACAGGTTGAGGCGCTCTTTTCCTGGCGTGAGACATTGGATAGTTGGCACCTGTGGTTTTTCGACCAAGAAGCCTTTGAGGTAATCCAGGCCGCGGACAACGCTTATCAGCAACGTCTTGCATAGGTTGAAACCACAGGTGTGGTCTTGTCAGGTGTGCAGTCTCAGGATAGAGCCGCAGCCTCTGGCGCGGCGGAAGCAGCAGGCAGTGCAGCGGATTGGCTACGCCCTCCTACGCCTCCTTCAGCTTCATCCTGGCTACAAGACGCACGCACTCCATTGCCTCGCATCCGACCATCAGCAGAGGAAAGACAAGTGTTGCGAGGTGCCGCCAAGACAGCACTTCGCGGGGTATACGCTAGAGCTGCGGAAACGCGGCGGGAGAGCAGCAGGGAACGGTCGCCACAAAGATCGAGGTCCCCATCGCCACGAAGGTCGAGGTCTCCATCGCCTCCGAGACAAGGACCGACTGCTGCTACCCCTGTGGAACAACGGGCACACAGTGTTGAACCCGCGCTTGCGCGGGAGGGCAGGCCATCCAGGACTTCCCTTGCCACACGGCCCATTGTATTGGCTCCACAGAACAGCATATACCCTGTGACACGATTTGACGAGCACGGCACTTGGGTGCTCGTTCGGGAGGCTTCACAGCCACGTGAGGCGACATCTCACCGCCGAGCACAGCGGACATCCGGACATCTCCGTCAGGCTGACCCGTATTCGCTTGCGGACGAGACGTGGAGAGATCCCCCAAGAAGATCATCCACAAGCTCGCGATCACGCTCTCCAGATCGACGCCCAGGACCAGCGGAGCACTATCGTCTCGACGCCTATAGCTCAGAAGAGGAGCCTCCGCAGGGCGTGGAGTCCCTCGCAACTGGCAGGGCGCCTTACGTGCCTCGGCGCGTATACAAGGCACCGACTCACACTGAGCCTATTGCTTTGCATAGCCGGAGGATTGGAGCAATACAGCCACCGCCACCAAAGGCCGCGCCAAAGATCATTTTTGGCAGCAAGCCTCCATTGCCAAAGGAACTTCCTCGTGCAGCTTCTTCGGTACCGGCAAAGGCAGTTATTCCAAGGAAATCACCTCCTCGAGCAAGGTCTCCTATTCGGACTCAGGGTGCATTCGGGTACAAGGCGCCTCCGCGAGGTTTGAACAAGGCCGAACCCAGAAGCAAGTCAGGCTCAAACCCACCAGAAGGGTACATCGTCAAGCCGCCACCGCCGCAGGTCGTTAGAGCAGCTGCTACAAGCGCTGCAACTTCCGAGGCTGGCATACGCTTTTGATCGCCACCAAGAAGGCCGCCGCCTGTGCCACCCCCGCCGCCTGAAAGGCCAGTGCCGCCCAAGGAGCTCACCATCGCTCTTGACTGGCACGGAGTTCTTGACGTCGGGCAGCAGGGGCCCCACCTCAACCCGGAGGTGATCCGGCGTCTCGTTCAATTCGCAGCTGACTACGCACCTATCAATTTTGTGGTACTATCCTTCGTTGGCAGGGCAGCAAGCGAATTTCGACGCCGCGAGTTCCAGGTCGCCCTGGATCACGCGAAGGCGACAGCTGGACTCACTTTCTCTGCGATAAAAATCGTACACGAAAGGTTGGGCAGGGCCGGCAAGGCAGACGCTCTCTTGGGGCTGGGAGCCCACGTCCTCGTGGACGATCAAGCTGCGATCGTCCGCGAGGCGCAAAAGACAGGCATCGCAGCGTTCCGCAACTTCCCACATTTTGGGCCGAGCGGATTTGCCAACGCGCTTGAGAACGTTGGGGAGTACATCGAGTCCCGGAATCGATTTTTCATTCCGGCGGCAAGGGGCCTGCACCCTTCGCAGTACGTCGAGGAGCTCCATCGGTCTGCATCCCAACTGCCCGCCAGTCGGGTACTTCGATAGCCTTTCTTTGCAAGCCGTTAAAACCGTCGCTTTGCGCGGTACAGCATCTTTGCAGCTACAGGCATTCGATTTGCAGACTTTTCTCATTAGCAGCTTGGCAACATCCTTCGATAAAGCACCATAGTGCGGCAGTGCGGATCAATCAATCTACAAGTACAATTACAATACAGAATTCATCAGGTGCAAAGCAGCAGGGCGTATTTTCTTGAGTGGCTCACTTGAGCGTTTCGCAACCAGCTGCCAATCCAGGGATATCTCCTCGTAGCACCTTTTGACACGCTGCTCAAAGCGCGTGGAGCTAGCTTCGTGTGAGTGCAAAATTGCATTGCTGTGTCATGGCTTCAACGGGCTTATCACCGCCCTCGGAACCCCGTTCAAGGTCAACCCCAAATAGGGATTCTGAACCGGATGACCCTGACTTAGCCATGGTTCCTGCAG